TTATAGAAATATCTAAATGACATTTTTATGTTAGCTGAGTTATCCCTATGTATGATTTCAAGTGTTTTCCACAATGCTTTTCTAAAATGAAAAGGCACTGTTTTTAGCCTTAGAAATGACATTTTTATGTTAGCTGAGTTATCCCTATGTATGATTTCAAGTGTTTTCCACAATGCTTTTCTAAAATGAAAAGGCACTGTTTTTAGCCTTAGAAATGACTGAAAGTAGCCAAGCACAGTAGCATAACTGTAATCCCAGTATTTAGGAGACAGGCCGGAAGATTCCCAGAATTCAAGGCAAGTTTGAGCTATCAACCTGGAGATACACAGTAAGTACTACCAGCTCAATAAGAGCAACAGAGCAACATGTGCACACACACACACACACACACACACGAGAGAGAGAGAGAGAGAGAGAGAGAGAGAGAGAGAGAGAGAGAGAGAACTGAGCAGTAGTGATGCATGGTTTTTATCCCAATACTTGATTACAGAGGCAGGCAGATTTCTAGGTTTGAGGCCAGCCTGATCTACAGAGTGAGTTCCAGGACAGCCCTGGCTACACAGAGAAACCCTGTCTCAAAAAACAAAACCCAAAAAACGTAAGTGCTAAATCAGACCCTATCAGAAAGAAAAGAAGGAATAGGAGAAGAGGAGAGAGGAAGAAAAGAGAGGAGGGAATAAGAAAGGGAATGGAAGGAAGGAAAAGAAGAAAACTGTCTGAAGGTAGGAGAGGATGCTGAAGACAGAAATACATTCTGAAGCATGCAAGATGGCCAGCAACAGGGTAGATGTAGACACTAATGCTGACCTGGGGGGTGGACGAGAAAACTCTGGCCCCTGTGTCTCAGAATGCTGCTGAGAAGAAGAGTGGGGAGGCTGCTGCTTCTGCTCTTCTGAAGACTTGAACCCCATGGCAGTGTGGAAGGCACGTGGCATCAGAGGTGATCGGCAGTGGGCCACTGAAATAGAAACAAGACTGTTGGTCACAGACATTCACCATGGAAGACTCTCTGTGACCCAGAGTGGTAATGAGGAGGAAATGCACAGCAGGGATGCTTCTGCAGCCATCATTCCAATGTGGAGTGACCCACAGTCACCTTGAGTAAAACAGGAACCTTGAGGCATGTAATGCAGTTAACATAAGACCTGGCTGTCCTCTTGGTCTGTTTCTACCATTGGTCAGCTATATGGCTCTGTATAAAACATTTCCCTCAATATGCAGATGAAAATAATTGTCTTAATTACTACTGTGTGCATGAATATTCATTCTATGACACATTTGGAGCTCAGAGGACACCTCTGTGGAGCTGGTTCTCTCTTCCCACCTTTACATACTTTCTGACAATGGAGCTCAGGTTTGTGTCAAGCACCTTTACCCACTAAACCATATTGCTGGCCCCTTAATATACAGTTTTTTAAAACCCCACAAATGGAGAGTATTAATCTCTACTTACTCAATGACAATGTTGTTATGGTACCCCTAAATGTGAACATGACAGTGCCTACCTTCCAAGTGTTTACATGGCATTTCTTTTCTTCCCTTTCCATGTTTGTGTGCATTGTGTGTATGTGTGTGCATATGCATGTTTGCATGTATGTGGGTGGGTGAGCGTGCACAAGTAGGTGAAGGTTTGAGGTCAACTTTGGGAATCACCCCCAAAGCATCTGTTCTCCGCGGCAGGCCCTCCATAAATCAACCCTCTCTCAACCAAGCCCAAAAGCATATGGCTAGTAAGTATGTCTTACTTACTAGCCAGCCTGCACTAGAGATCCCTGGACTCCACCTTTGGTGAAGATCCCTGGACTCCACCTTTGGTGACTCCCTCCTTCTCCTCCTCCTCTTCCTCCCCTTCTTCCTCTTCCTCTTCCTCCTCCTCCTCTTCTTCTTCTTCTTCTTCTTCTTCTGGAGGGGGGAGGTCAAGGTCTCACTATGCAGTCTTGACTGGCCTCAAACTTCCAGAAATCTGCATCTCTATCTCCTGAGTGCTAGGATCAAAGGCACGCACCACCACATGCTGCATCCTCTATGGGTTCTGAAGACCAGAACTCTGGTCCTCACACTCAAGCACTTTACCCTCTGAGCCATCTCCCTGGCGCTTGCAGCCTCATTACCTTAGGAAATACCAGCAGTGTTTGAAACTACCTTTTTCTTTTCCCAACATTTTACCATCAGAATTTGCAAACACGTCGAGAAGTTGAAGAACTGTGAACACCTGCATATCATTCCAGCTGCTGCACGGTTATCATGCCTCCATTAACCCACTTTACTCTCATTACTTACTGCAGATCTCAGTTCTTCTTCATCTCCAACACTGTAGCCCACCTAACAGTACAGCTTACTATTCACTGTCCCTTTATGGACTGTTTATACAAGATGAAATATATAAATCTTAAACACGGTCCTGTAAGCAGTGCAAATGCATACACTTGTAGAACACAAGTCCTATGTAGACAAGCATTATCATCACCCAGAAAATCCCCTCTCACCCTCTCAGTTAGCTCCCGTTCTTCTTTTCTGAAGCTTACACCCTAGATTAGTTTTTGCTTCTCCTTGGATTTCTTTAAAGTTTCTTTTGTTTCGTATATTTAATTCATTTATTTATTTGGTTCTTTGGTTTTTCAAGACAGGTTTTTCTCTGTGTAGCTCTGGCTGTTCTAGAACTCACTTGGTAGACCAGGCTGGCCTTGAACTCAAGAGTTCTGCCTGCCTCTGCCTCCTGAATGCTGGGGTTAAAGCCTTTTTAAAGGCATGAGCCATCACTGTCTGGCTAATTTTTAAAGATTTGTTTATGTATATGAGTGTCTCGGCTGCATGTATGCATGTGTACCACATGTCTGCCTGATGCCCACACAGGTCAGAATCGGAGGCTAGGAACTGAACCAGGACATCTGCAAAAACCCTAAGTGTCCTTAACCTAATGAGCCATCTCTCAAGCCCTGCTTAGCATACATTTTAAATGTATGTGTATGGGTGTTTTGCCTGTATGTATGCCCGTGCTACATTTGCATGCCTTGTGTCCATGGCTACAAGAGGCTGCTGGACCCATGTGACTGGTAGGAACTGAACCTGGGTCCTCTGGAAGAACAGCTAGTAATCTTAACCACTGAGCCATTTCTCCAGACCATTATTTAGTTTTAAATTATGTATATATTGTGTCAATCTGAGTGTGGGTATGAAGAAGGCATCAGATTCCCTGGTGCTGCAGTTACGGTGGTTATGAGCAGCCCAGCATGTGTGCTGGGAAGCAGACTAGCATCCTCTGCAAGAGCAGCATGTACTCCTAACTGCCGAGCCCCCCTAATTAGTACAGTTTCACAAGATCAGTCGAGGTAACTCTTAGAGGAGTCTATAACAACACTTAGAAATGTTTTGTCTTCTTCAACTCTCTGAAAAGCCATTTTCCTGGATCTGTCTTTTCAGTGCCTGTCTTTTTCCCTCAACCCTTGTGCTTAAATAAGCCTACACTGAAATCTTTGTTAAACCTCAACTGCTTTAAACACACACACAAATCAAAAGATCAGCCCATATTATGTTGAGTCATAGTCTTCCTATATAACTCAGGATGAGACAGGACTAACAAGTTCAAAAACCAAAACAAAACAAAAAACGAATAAAAAAGAAAAGCATGGTGACCCACTCCTTTAAGCACTCAGGAGGCAGGGGGCAGGCCAATCTCTGCAAGTTCAAGGTCAGACTGGTCTATATTATAGCAAGTTCCAGGTCAGCCAGGGATATAGAGTGAGACTCTGTCTCGAAAAGTTTAGAAAGGGGATGGGTACTTTGGAGGTACCTGTTGTAAATTGCTTGAATAGTACTGAAGAAAGACGACTGTTTGGCTTTTTGGGGCCCTGTCATTATAAAGTTGTCATGAATACACTTGAACTTTTTGTGGACACAATTTTATGGGTAAATACCTAAGACCAGATTTGTTGGCTCACATTGCATTATTTTTGCTAAACATATTTTGTTTGAAACTTTAGCTAAAAATGACAAAAAGGAAGTCACTGAAAAATAATAACATGGAAAGAAACACAGAACCTCATGGACAAAACCATCAGCATTTGGCATATGCACAGGAAATGGAGCAAATGACCACAAAATTTGAAGTAAGGAATCCCCAAAGTATGGCTTCGAAATCTCTTTGGCCCACGGAGATTTTAGTTGCATATCTTTTTGTTAACGTGTCAGTGCAGAAAAGATTGTACTTATGGACAGCGATTTTTGCTTTTCCACTTAACGACAGTGTACAAAGTTTTTAAAAGTAAACGTCTACAATTAATGTGGAAATAAGAATACGAGGCATATGGCAGCAATGACGAATGTCACCAGCTTAATGACATGGTGTGGCAATAACTGACTCTGGGGAAAAGAACGGACTGGACGCTCTCTGTAGCTGTTCGGTCGGTTTCTCCAGCGAGGCTGGCACAGCGCCTACGGCGACGGAGTTGAGAACGCTTCGCCGCGGACGAGCTCTGTGACCTTGGGCACACCGAGCCCTCTCTGAAGCTCCATTACCTCTGGGAAATCGGGGTGACAGGACTGCCCCACTGCCCCTCACAGCTCAAGTCCGGAGACTGAAACCCGTAAGTGGCTTTTTCCAGCTCGCGACTCCAGCGGCTCCACGCCGATGCCCTTCACCTTGCTAGCCCCCACCACAGCCTCTGTCGTCCCACTCCAAGCCCAGATCCGCCCTGCGCCTCCTTCCCGCTTTCCTCCCGCGTCCCGGCTCGGCTGTCACCTCACCGGGCAGGCACCGCAGCCGCAGGAGCCTCCAGCCCAACCGGCCGAGGACACCAGACGCTGCTGCCGTCGCCGCCATCTTGGAAGTGGGCACGCACGCTGAGGGCGGCGACGCGCCGGGTAGCGTCACGCCGTCAGCGGGGCCGCGTCGGCTCTCTAGGACTCAGGTGCTGTGCGTCTTATCGCGATATACGGGAACGAGAAGCTCGCGTCTTCGGAGCGGGTTTTCCGGCTGGGGAGGAAGGTGAGGACGCTCGGGAGGGCTCGAGCATCTGACCGGGCTTAACGGCCCTCCATGGGGCCACTCTCGTCTTCCGAGCTCTCGCTTTGGCTCCCGGCGCGGTCATTGGCACGCCTGGGAAAGCCGGAGCCGCGGCGGCGGGGGCCCTGCACGCGGCGTGCCTGAAGCCGGGGCTCCTCTGCCGCCTCTTGCCGCGTGAAACCCGGAGCTGACATCGGGACCGCCAGTTTACTCGTAGCCATCTGTGGTGACCTTGAGTCTCCTCCAGGGCACTTGGCGGAAAGCTCCAAAGGTGGGGAGAACCTGAAGCCACAGGTTGTCCATTGGAGCCTGGCACTTATTTCCTAGGACGCTTGTTTATAAACCGATCCACCCAGGCTTTTGTCCTGGAGAGTTGACCCTGTTCCAGGGTGTGGTCCAGAGATCTAGCACTAACAAGCCTTGTTGGGAGAAGTTCGCTTCTCAGCGTCTTGGCGTTCCTGAATCCATGCTACGAGTCTTCAGAGTGGAGCGGGGGCGCCTCGCTGCTCCACCAGGGACGGCTTGGTGTTTGCTAGAAGTAAACGGTGTGTGTCTGTTGTCATGGAGGGAACATGTATGTGGAGGTGCATATGCATGTGTGTGTGGAGGCCAGAGGACAACCTGGTTTTTCATCAAACTGTGTCCACCTTCTTTGTGACGAGGCCTCTAGTTGGCCTGAAGCTTACCAGTTAAGGCTGGGTTCTATCTCCCCAGTGCTGGATTACACACCTGGCCACACGAGCGTTTAAAGAATACATATATTATATTTTGTATTATTTTGCGTGTGTTGGGAGGTTGCCGTTGTACACAGTGGAAGTCGGAGGACAAGTTTCAGAAGTTGATTCTCTGCTTCCACTTTGAGTTCTGAGGGTTAAACTCAGGTTGTCAGGCTTGTGAGGCAAGCACCCCTAACCCACTGACTGAATCCTCTTGATAGCCCACACACCCAGGTTTTCTAGATGGCTTCTGGGGCTAAAACTCTTTATGCTTGCAAAGCACAGGCTCGCCCTTCCCAGAACCCTGATAATGGTTTTTGAGAGAAAAGTTTCACTGAGACCCAAACTCCTTAGAACTCACGCTCCTTCCTCAATCTCCCAAGAGAGCTAGGATTACATGCAGGCTCCGACGCTTTTAGCTATTAAGTTGGTGTTTGTTTGGCTTTGAGGTATTACAGTCTGAACCCAGGACATGCTAAGTTAAGCACATACCACTGAACTGTGCCCCTATCCCTAATCAGCTTTACCTGCTACCGCTGAGTCATCTCCAGCCTCTCTGCCACCTTAAATGGGACCACAAGCCTAAGACTGTGCTTGTTAAATGACTTAAAGATAGGTAAGCCCATCTCCAGAAGTTACTCTCAGAGGCATCTGCTCTACTGCCTGCTGGTAACTTAGCAGACTGGCCTCAGGCTCCCGGAGATCTGCCTACCTTTGTCTTGAGAGTGCTAGTATTAAAAGCAAATGCCTGTTCACCTGCTAGTAACATTTTAAAAAAGCCGTGGGTGGATAGTGTCAGTTGGAAAAGTGTCTAATAAACAAAGTCAGTTATGTGACATTGACTTCTACTTCACCTCTTTGGTTGTGAAACAACCCTGAGTCACAGCTCCTAAGAATGCTGGCTTAGGCACTGGAATATTTTTTTTCTCTTTAAATAATTTTGGTTTTGTCGTTTTCGGTTTTTTTGTTGGTGTTGTTGCTGTTTTCTTGTTTGTTTTTAGTTTTTTGAGATGGGGTTTCTCTGTTTGCCCAAGCTGTCCAGGAATTTGCTCTGTAGAACGAGCTGCCTATTTTTTTTTAATAGATTAACAAAAGCAAACAAAACAGACGAAAATTGTTATACTTCTAGAGCTTAAAAGAACATTGTCTATTAAGGAAATGCTGGCTAGAAGCTATAGGTGTGTGTGTTTTGATGGAGGGGACGTTTAAGGTTTAATTTACTCATGAGGTCTCTCTTGTCATGCGAAGCAGAATGTGTTATTTACTCTAATAATTTCCTGACACAATCCCACTGGTACAGGGATGTTAAAGGCGAGACTCTCCTGTGAGGTTCTAAGGATGAAAGGGGAGCTCTGGGTATCTTCCTTACAAACATCTTTAAGGAGGAAGAGGGAGGTGTTACCAAGACTGTTGGAAACAAAGAAGTAGTGGACCTGCGTCCTTTCAGAACATTGTTTAATTGACCTCTGTGTCCCAGCATCTGCTGAGTGTTTTACATAACTTACTGTCCCAGGGTTTCTTAATCAGTCTTAAGAATATGAGGTTATTTACTGTTCCTGTTTATTGACAGGAAAAAAAGAAGAGACTCAGAAAAGTTGACTTGCCATAGTCCTGTACCTAAGGAAACAAAGTTGATCTGCAGGTTGCTTATTTTTAATAACTTCCTACCAACAGTAAGTACTCTGACCTTCCCTAGTCAGCTCTTAAATGTGAGATTGAGCCCAAGTTACCCACCTTAAAGATTTACAAAGATTCTTTCTCAACACCATGTGACAATTAAAAGCTTAAAAGTGTTCATTCCTGATGCTGTATTTCTTAGGGATTTAAAATCCAAAACTAAACAACCAAAAAATCCTGCCTGTCTGACAGCACGTGGCATCCTTTTACTTTAGCTTTTTGCTGAGTCAGGGTAGCACAGAGCTGATGTTCACGTAAGAAACTAAACAAAAAGTGGTTGGAAGTACAGTGAGGAAAGAGTCACTTCGGAATAATAGAAGCTGGATTTTGAATCTAGCCAGATAAGGAGTTCAATTTTGCTGAAGAAATTAAAACCATTAGTAAATTATTTCTTAAGTGACAAAGCACTGTGTAATCAAGGATGACTAGTTAAAGGTCATGGTTTTTACTTGAACATTTTTTTCAAGCCAAACATGGCGTTGCATACCTGTAATCCTAGTACTTGGGAATTAGAGGATGAATGATCAGAAGTTCAAGACCAGCCTGAGCCATATGAGGCTCTGACTCCTCCCCAAAAAAGTAAATGAAATGAAAATGAAATAAAAATTTTAAATTACGTTTTATTTATTTGTGTGTGTCCACCTGTGCTGTACCTGCACACGTGGCTGTCACAGGACAATCTGCAGAAGTTAGTTCTCTTACTGTCTATGAGTTCGTGAAGACTGAACTCACATCATCAAGTTTGGCAACAAGTGTCTTTACCTGCTGATCTGTCCTGCGCCCCACCCCCCAGCCCCTTACTGAATGCTTTTAACAAGGAAAGTGTAATGCGTGTTACTTAAGGTCTGCCTGGGAGTGTGGTGGTGTCCCTGTTGCAGAGTGGGCTGTCTCTGCTGGGTCAGAAGTGTGGAGTGGGAAGCTCCTACCGCTGCTTCTTTGTTTCACTTACTTGAAGTTAGAAACTTAGTAGCCTTAATGTTTGAGGAGGGAGGAGCTAAAGAGAAGTATCCCTTGACCTCCTTCACAGTAAGCATCGTGTACACAGACCTACATATCAAGTGGAAGAGAAAGGTGACCCAAGGCAGGGAGTTTTCATAATTAAAACATAGGTTTGGATTCTAATCCCAGTTTTTGTTTTACATCACATAATATCGGTGTGTACAGTGTTTGCTGACACAGTTCTTTACCTGTACACTGGGAATGACCTAATATCAGACTGCTCAGAGGGTCATTTGAGGTGATGTATGTAGAAGGTGCTTTAAAGAGGATGGCAGCATTGTTTACTACAGATTGACTGGAGTTGAACTTTTATAAGTAATGAAAAAGAAGTGTTTGGTTTATAAATTAAAAAAATAATTTAAAAGGACGTAGCTGTGGTTAGGTTCTCTGCCAACTCACTGCCTTCCTTACTGAGTCCTTCTGCCTGATGAATGCCCTGCTTGTTTTATGGTCAGCTCAAACTGAATTATCTCAAAGATGAAATAATCTTTCTGTCTCCACCCTTCTTACTTGATGCTAATCCCCTTGTCTTGACCCTGCCTTATTGGTCACATCTACCTGTTATATCAGGGACTGTTGGGATTCTGAAGCCTGAGGCTCTAGGTTCATTTAGTCAGGCTCTTAAGGGTCACAAGCTTTGTAAAGCCCTCCCTCAGCGGGAGGTTGTTGGAGGAGGCTATAATTCTAATCAGACCTGTTGAGAGCCCATGGGTTACACTGCACTGTTGTCCTGTCTTGTTTCTTTTGCTAGTAGCGTTTAGGTCCAACAGCGCTACAGGAATGGCAGAGTTTGGGATCTCCTCTGGCCAGCTTGTGGCAGTGTTCTGGGACAAGTCATCTCCTGAGGAGGCCCTGAAAAACCTGGTGGATAGACTTCAAGGGTTAACTGGCAGCGAGGGCCAAGTATTTACGGAAAACATCACCCAGCTGTTGCAGTGTGAGTATCTACCTGTCCTTTTCTTGAAGGGCTAGAAGCATTTTGATGGGAGTGCTGCTTGTCTGTAGATCGTGATACTTGGGTTTTGTTTGGAGTCACCCCATTGCTTTTCAGATGAAATAGAGTGGACCTGGGCATGCAGTTGGTAATTTCTGCATGCTCTTGTGTTTTGAAGTCTTTTCCCATTCTAAAAAGCTGCTTTTTTCACCTCTTCCCCTGGTCTTACTAAGGTTAAGAATTAGTAAGATACAGAGCAGAACAGTCTTCACACTTTTTGCTACTATCAATGGCTTGATATTTGCTATGTAGGTCCATTCTCCTGGGTGATGCCCTGTGTTCTCTATGGGAGCTTGGCGGGAGGGTTGGAGATTGCTTCCTGGCTTAGGCAACTGTTGATTATTCTTTTCAGCTGCCCATAAGGAATCCAGCTTTGATGTCATTCTTTCGGGTGTAGTCCCAGGTAGCACCTCTCTGCACAGTGCTGAGGTTCTGGCTGAGATGGCCCGGATCCTCCGGCCAGGGGGATGTCTTTTTCTGAAAGAACCAGTGGAAACAACTGGAGGTAAGGGTATTGTTGCTCAGAAGGTGAGAGTTTAGCACAACTGAGTCTTCGCATGTACATTCTGTCTCCCTGAGCCAGAGGTTCTCCTGTAGTATTACTTTCTCGGGGATAGAGGTTAGAATCTGAGGCAACAGAGCTGAAAAGGTGTGGTCTTTGGTTGACCCACCAGGTCATAAATACAAGGAAATTGCCACCTAAAATGGCTGAATCTCTCACCACATGAAAGATTCATCTCTGTCATGTCTCTGACACAGAGAACATTCCAGCAGTAAGGAAGAGCACACATAGTAACTTCCTGTGAATCTATGGTTATTCCAGAATAGAGTTTTAAAGTAATGGCTGGAATCTGGGAGTAAAGAATAATACGTGAGAAGCTAAAAGTATTCCAAGACTTTCAAGCTAGAACTAATCCAAGAACTAAAGCCTTTCTGGCTTAGTAGTGTAGCTGTAAGAATTGTTAATCCTGGGGTTCTAGCTTTTTTTTCTTCACTAAATTCAATCAAGATGTAGAAATATATTCCAGTAAACAGTAAAATAAAAGAAATAGAGGTATTTTGGATCTATAGCTTGTGAACATACAGACCTTGTGATGTTTGTGGCAGACACCAGCTTTCTAGCTGGAAACTTACTTTTATGATTTTTAAGAGAGAAGAAACGTGCACGCGCTTTCATCCGTGTGTTTTCGTGCATGTCTGTCTGTTTGCCTGTCTCGTGTGGGTATATGTGAACATGAGTTCAGGAGGCCAGAGGTACTGGACCCCGCTGGGAGCTAGAGTTAGAGTTGTTGTGAGCCTCCTGATGAGGGTGCTGGAAGCCAAATTTGCGTCCTCTGTAAGGGCAGTATGTGCTTACAGCCACTGAGCCATCTTCCCAGCCTGTTCTGGCTGGAAATTTAAACTTTGAGTCATAAATGGTGTCTCTGACAGAACTTTACAGAGACAGTACTTAGGTTTCTATGTACTTCATAGTTTATGACTTTATTCATTATCTAATATTCTTTGGGAGGGGTTTCCAAGAAGCAGAACAATGGAATCACGACCTGTACTAGCCTAAATCAGAATACTTGGGGTACTGGAGAGATGGCTCAGCAGTTAAGAGCACTCACTGACTGTTCTTTCCAGAGGTCTTGAGTTCAATTCCCAGCAACCACATGATGGATCACAACCATCTGTAATGGGATCCAGTGCTCTCTTCTGGTGTGTCTGAAGATAGCAACAGTATACTCACTTAAAAACAAAACAAAACAAAACAAAAAACCACTTTGAATAACTAAAAGATTTTTTAAGGTAAAATGTTATCACTACACCATATGGACATTAAACAAAGTGAGTTTTTCCTGTTTGATATCCTGCTGACTCACATAGGGTAGAGCCTTATAGTTTTCCCAACTTTGACATATGGAGCCATTAATGGAGGTTTTCCTTGCCAGTTAACAGTGACAAAATGAAGACAGCCTCTAAGCTGTGTTCGGCCCTGACTCTTTCTGGCCTTGTGGAAATAAAAGAGGTAAGTGTGTAGACATCCATCCTTGTTAGGTATGTAAACCTTGGGCGACCCAAACCTACAGAGTGTTTGTCAATGTAGCTGGGGCAGTGAGGTGATAGGTCCTGTGCAGAACTAGGAAGTAATTTGAAACTTGCTGCCTGAGAGAGATACGGGATGCTTTGAAAAAGAACCCTTGGGGACAGATCCCTTCTGAAGAGTCGGTAGCTTTCACTGTCTTCCTAGAGCTGGTTAACAGTGGCGGCTGTTCTGCAGGGAGGACAGTGATCACTGCTTCTGTTCTTCTCTGTGTGTACAGCCCTTAGGCTTAGATAGGGTCTTGTCCTTTAGACGACTGGTGAGACTTTGGATGGGCTGTGCACTTAGACAGTTGAGTAGAGATGTTCAAGCCAAGCAGATGCGCTTGTACTTGCATATTCTTCTCTACAAATTAAGTTTTAAAATAATAACATTTTCTTGGTTTGGAAGAAGTGTTAGTGACAGCTGTATTGTTATATTCCTTCTTTCTTTCTTCTTCCTTCCCTCCCTCCCTCCCTCCCTCCCTCCCTCCCTCCCTCTTTCCTCCCTCCCTCTTTCCTTCCTTCCTTCTTTCTCTTCTCTTCCTCTTCCTCTCTCTCTCTCTCTCTCTCTCTCTCTCTCTCTCTCTCTCTCTCTCTTTCTTTCATGTGATTCAGGCCTTTAAATTTTCTTTTTGAGATAGAGACTTACTGTTGCCCAGGCTAGCCACATGGCTGGCTTGGTGAAACAGTGAATGGAGGATCGTGCACTGATAGGCAGGATGTCTTCAATTGCAGTTGCAGCAGGAGGCCTTAAGCCCCGAGGAAATGCAGTCTGTGCAGGAGCACCTGGGCTACCACAGCGACAGCCTGCTCTCAGTCCATGTCACTGGCAAGAAGCCAAACTTTGAAGTGGGTTCTTCTAGTCAGCTAAAGCTTCTCAAGAAGAAGTCTTCAGGTAAGACTAGCTGGGGACATTCTTCTGTGTGTGACGGGAGGGTGGGCTGATCTAAATAGTCTTAGATTGGCCCTTCCATGTCTGTTCTTTGCAAACTGCAGGATGTTTACTGTGCTTTTATCTTGGACATACTATTTTCCAAACTTGAAATAACACATAGATATTTCCTAGTGCAGCCTGTCTGAGACCACCTCAGCTTGGAGGCCTGAGTCATTTATTCAGTTGACAAACTCTCTTCAGGCCCTGGGAGATGGGTCTGTCCTCAGGAGACCTCACAATGGTGATAACATTTTTATACATAACACTCATACAGAAAAAAGGTTTTGTCATGACCTTTTCATATGCATCACCCTGCTCCTTGTTGCTCCCCGGCTGCATCCCTGTAGATGATGTTCTAACGTTCTGTCAGAGCTGTAATCACAGGACTTTGTTGGTCTGATGTTGGTGGAACATCCTCCAGGATGTGTCCTGTTTAGATGCTTAAAAACAAAACCCGTGTTTCTTCTGCCTAAAAAATTGTGTGGTGTGCACGTCTGTGTGTAAACACTGCTCATTCAGCTGTAAGGTCTCAGTTGTGTTTGGCTATGAGGAATGCAGAGATTTAACAGGAGTTTGCTGGCGTATCCATACTGCACTCTTTTGCTGTCTAGCTTTAATCTGTATGAAGTACTGTGACTCAGTTTACAGTCTTTACTTCTCTGCCCTTTGAGTGGCAAGAGTTATAGGCTTGTGTTCCCAAGCTTGGCCTCAGGAAAGACTTGGACCTTCGATTTCATAGTTCCTAGAGGATTGGGATAGCTTAGATCAGTAATTGAGCTTGTGGGTGTTCTGAGTATCCAGCTGTGGCAGTGACAGTCTCGGGTGGTGTGCTTACCCAAAAGACCTTACCCAGGATTTGCCCCTATAATCCCCAGTCCTGAGGCTCATAGATTGTTTATAGTGTCCTGACCTAGATGGAAAATGTCCTATCACTGACTGTGACCTGGCCACCATCCTTACTAGAGTCTGGTTTTTTCTGTAACAGGTTTGAGTGAGGTAAACCTCAGCCTCTTAGGAAGTTGTTGCTGCTTTTCTCATTTGACGCTGCAGATCCTTAGAGTAGCAGAGAGAGTGCTATAACCCATGTTATAGGTGTAAACTCCGCTAGCAAGGAACAAGCAGTGTGCATGGATGCCGTAGCCCCACATAACAACCACAGCTATGAAACTAGGTGGGGTACCTTGCAAGGTTCTCAGCACGCACGGTTAGGGGAGATGCTGGCAGTGCTGATGGACTATCCAGCTTAAAGCCAACAGATAAGGAACGCCGGTTTCCTTTGCTGTGTGAAGGCTATGCTTTGTTCCTAGTGGAGCTGAGCGCCGAGCCTGCCCTCCTACCTCCTCAGTCTGTTGAGTCACTCTCTGCTAGTCTACGCACTACAGATGCTGGGGCTTGCTTGTAGTTTGCTTCTGACTGTTTAAAGAGTTCTTTTTCTTTTATTGTTTGACTCAGTGAAGCCTGCTCTGGATCCTGCTGCTGTCAAGCTCTGGACCATCTCAGCCAATGACATGGAGGATGACAGCATGGTGAGTTGGCCCTGTGTACTTGACCGGTCCTCCCCACCCACACACCCCCATGCCTTGCAGTGAAAAGTGACCTTAATTTTTTATTTAATTTCATGTGTATGAGTGTCTATCTATGTGTATATGTAGGTTCTATATGCATGTCTGGTGCTCCTGGAGGCCAGAAGAGACTGTCGGAGCCTCTGGAACTGGAGTTGAGTTGCAGGTAGTTAGTAGCTGCTGTGTGGGTACTCAAAAGCAAACCCACATCCTCTGCAAGAGCAGCAAGTACTTTTAACCACTGAGCCAGGTTTCCAGTCCTGAAAGTGACCTTTTAGATTTTGGGTACTACTCTGTTTAAGGTCTGAAAGTGGCCTTTTAGATTTTGGGTACTACTGTGTTTAAGGTCCTGCACTGTAGTTGTGCCTGATGTTGATGGCTCTGAGTAGGGCATCCTTCCTAGTGGTATGTTAAATTTCATGGTTTTAGTATGTTTTTCCTCCCAACAGATTTTCTTGTTTTCCCTTTATGTGCAATAGTAAAGATTCTTGTAGACATAAACCAGGAAAGAAGCTGGCTGAGACATTTTATTGGCCCCAGTCTAGGCAAATCATTGAATGCTCACTGTCTTGAACCCAGTGTTTGCACCTTTGATCTGCTCTGTCTTTAAGAAATTAAGATGGGCAGTGTTGGAACACACATTTAATCCCAGCATTTGGAAGGCAGAGGCAGACAGATCTGAGTTCAAGGTCAGCCTGGCCTACCCAGAAAAGAAAGGAAAGAAAATTGTTTTTGCACCTTTACTATTGAAGCAAGAATGATGAGCAAAATATGTCATGGTTTATGTTCTCAGAGCTTACAGACGTAACTGTCTTCACGGTTATAAAAAAAGTTACACAAATATATTTATAACTGTTTGTTTTTTTTTTTCCTCTCAAATTTTATGGAAAATGTTTTACTTCCTTTGATTATATGTTATTCCCATGACTAGTCATATATTGAAATAAGTATAATACTTCTCTTCATTTTACCTGCTCCCACCCTCCCCATGAAAACTCCCTCTCTCTCTCCAACTTCGTTTCTCTTGCTGCGGGCGGGGGGGTCCCAGTACCAGCCAGTTTTGTAGCTATTTCTGGCCTCATGCATTCTCCCATGGACCATTAGCCTCTTCAGCCTATGGCCTAGTTCACAGTGGGTGTTGCTTTTACTGTGTCTGCACAGTGGGTGTTTGCACTGTGTGTGCTTGCTCTCATAGCCTGGGATTACCTCAGCTTCTCATCAGAGGGACCGTGGCTGTGTGGCTAAGTGTTTGCATCACTCTCCAGGATCTCATTGACTCAGATGAGCTGCTAGACCCAGAAGATTTGAAGAAGCCTGATCCCGCCTCCCTGAAGGCTCCTTCATGTGGGGAAGGGAAAAAGAGGAAGGCCTGTAAGAACTGGTAAGCTCTGGGGGGCAGGTCTGGTCTGCTGGGTACCTCTCCAGGTGTCAAGCCATCTCTCTGTGCCTCATTCTCTTGAAAATGGTTTTCCTCTGAGATGTGAGGTATATAGAGGAATAAACTAAACAGGTAAACCTTAAAGAATAGCAAAGACTCACACTTGGTGTAGATTAAAAAATGGAAGCGTCCTGGCTGGGCATCCCAGTGCTTGAGGGGCAGAAGCAAGCAGATCTCTCTGAGCTCAAGGTTAGCATGCAGGAGGCTGAGGCAGGGTTGCCCTTATAGAAAGACTGTTTCTAAAAGCTTTTCAAAATAAATAAAGCAGGCTGATCATGTAACTGAGTGTCTAGATGGATTTATTTGTTCACTTTCATTGAAGGGAACCTAGGTAGATAGATGTTGGGGGTGAGGAGGCTCTAAATTTCAGAGCCCTGTGTCTTCTACAAGGACTGGGTTGCTCAGGGTAAGTTTTTCTATGTCTGCTACTGGTCCTTTGGCACCTTAAGGTTCAGGATGAACTGGGAGTGATGGTTCATCTGTTAAGCTGATTCTCTTGCTGTTTCCCTATAGTTTGCAGTAGTGTACTGCTGTTGTTTTTGTAGTGCCGGTGGGGGTTTGAAAAAAGTGAAATTGTAGGAACTTGTGTCATTCTGTTCTAATGTGGAGGCTTTGTATTGGTATTTCTACTAGTATCGGACAGGCTTGGCTTGTTTATTCATCTACTTGCTGTTTGGTTTGTTTTTTTTGTTTTATTTTTTTGTTGTTTTGATTTTGTTTTTGTTGTTGTTGTTGCTTTGTTTTTGTTGTGGGTTTTTTTTTTTGAGATAGTCTCACAGTATAATTCAGGCTGACCATGTACTTGAAGTTCTTCTTTGTTGGCCTCCCCAATGCTGGGGTTTCAGCCCTGCCCACCACGTTCAGCCATCATCAGTCTTTAGGTATTCCAATTTGCCAACATCTACAAATGAGAGGATTTCAAATAAAAATCTAGATTTTCTTCTGTTTGTTTTTTTCTTTATGGTATGTTTGTGATGCTGGAGACATAGCCCAGGGATATATCTTGCACATGCTAGGCATGCGCTGTGCCACGGAGCTGCCTCTCAGCTCCTTCTCTTCATGAACTTGGAAACTGTAGCCGCACTGGGTCTGCTTCCCTCAGACGTCAGCAGTACAGCTCCCCTGTCCTCCTTCACTCTGCGTCTTCCCCGGCAGCCTCACCCCTAGCCTGCTGCTTCTAACTTTTAACTTGACTAGCATTTAACTTGACTCTTGATAAAGAGAAAAGTCTTAGGTGTAGCAGTAGTTAGCACTGTTAGAGATTTGACGTTTCTGTTGGTTCTCCCAGCACCTGTGGCCTCGCAGAGGAACTGGAGAGGGAGCAGTCCAAGGCGCAGAGCTCTCAGCCCAAGTCAGCCTGTGGAAATGTACGTACTGCACCTCCCCACCACCCGCCAACCCCTGCTGCTCTAAGACCACCCTAACTGCACACAGAGTAGAAGATCGTAAGGAATTTGTCATTGAGTATTCTAATAGTAGGCCAGTGTGAAAGGCCATGTATGCAGGTGTGAGGAGAAGAGGTCTTCCTGAGAGGGATTCCATTCTCATGCCTGTGCTGAGGGTGGCTGTCATTTTTTATTTTGTTAGCCATTTTGTCTCTCCCTTGACATGGGATATGTTTATTTGGCCATTTGGCTGACCTTGCTGTGATCCTGTAGCAGAGACGCGGAACTACCAGCCCTCTCGCCTCCTTCCCATGGGCTTCCCTCGTAGCTTAGGCAAGCCATAAACCTGCCTCAGCTTCCCAAGTACATCAGTTACAGCTGTGTTACCGACTCACATGGCTGGAACCCTTATTGACTTTTCATTAAACGAGACCTGTGGGTATACAAAGGAAAGGGTATGTGCCCTTTCCTTTGGCCCTTAGCCTCTCTATGTGACTGTTGTTTCTCCACAGTGCTACCTGGGTGACGCTTTCCGCTGTGCCAACTGCCCTTACCTTGGGATGCCAGCCTTCAAGCCTGGAGAGCAGGTGCTCCTGAGCAAAAGCAATCTCCAGGATGCCTAGGAGGAACCTTAGCCCCCACACACACCTCCTCCTCCAGCCGGCTCCTGGCCCTCAGCTCCAGCCACGGGCTCCTCCCATCTCTGGATTCAATCACTTTGAAAACACAGGGAGAGGCTGTGGCAGAGTGAGGCTGCTGTGGGCAGTGGGGTGTGGCGCTGCTATGTGTTGAAAGACCACGGTATGAGGGGACCTGCCTCTTAGTGTTAGGAGAGGATGTGCCCTAAGGACCTCTGCTCCTGGTGTTACAGTGCTCACCCTCGCCACCCTTGAGTCTACACATCCTTGAATATTTATGCTGAAGAAGCTCCAGGCTCCACTCAGTGATGCTGCCACCTACTGAACTTCCTCAGGATGTATTTCTTGGAGCCTTAGGTCAGCTGTCAAAGGGCCTCAAGGGTACCAAAGGAGTCATTCCTCCAGCTGTGATCCATCTTGTGTCCCTCTGGCTTTCTCACCTCACCCTGTTTTACTGTAGTGTTGTATCTGTGTCCTTCTGTCGTTTCTGTTAAATAGGCATTAAACTTTGGTGTTTCTGTGTTTCCCTTTTACTGTGAGTGTGCCTCTGTGTCTGTGTTTGGTGGCAGGGAGGGGAGGGTTGTCTGTCAGTCATCCACATTCAACTTGGACTATGAAAATTGTTTTTGAAGAAGTCGATGTCACACAGGAGTGGAGCCAGAGCTGCCTTTGTAGATTAGGATCTGTCTTCTTCTTCAGTCTCCCTCCTGCCTCTGCCCACATACCTGTAATCCACCTCGCCTGCTGTTACCTGGCCTTGAAACTTGATCTTCCTAGCTTGCTTCTGCTGCTTCTGCTGGTCCCTCCTGCTGAAGTTTGGCTATGGGTGTGGTGAAAAGCCCCTTTGAGAAGCAGACTTTCTGTTGACCCCTGTGACCCTTGGCTTGTGTTACCTCCCCTCCAGTTGCAGCAAAGCCTGAAGCTGGTGTTTCTCTTCTGTCCTGAGTGGAGAGGCTCTGGTAAAGTGAAAGGGTTTTACAGATGCACTCACAGTCCCTGGTGGACTTAGTTAATTAGAAGGGAGATTATCCTTGGCCCATTCTGTTGATCCTTTAAAAGAACTAGAAAACAAAGGCTTTCTTTTGCTGCCTGTGCAGAAGCTAGTGGGGAAGTTTTAAGAGGTACATAGCCCCACCAAGAAAATGGGGGCTACAGCCCCACAACTAGAAACTTGGTTCTGTCACCACTGTGCCAGCTCGGAAGAGGACTTAGATTCAAATGAGAACACAGCCTCTGCCTCAGTTAACGGCTAGGATCCATGGATAGAAGACTTCATATGCACAAGTCTTGTTTTCGATTCCTAGTACCAAAACCAAAAAAGGTTTCCTCAGGCCAGAGCAATTGACTGAAAAGCCAAGATAATAAGTGGGTGTGTGGCTGACTGATTTGTCACACAGCAACAAAAACGAACAGCCCCAGCTGGGTTTGGGTTTAGGTTTAGCGCTGACCAGCTGGGCCAGCCACAGACCTGCTGATTGCCTCTACAGTTGCCAAGGTGAGGGACAAACATTTTGGCCTCCAGGTCGAGGAGAATCTCCTGGGCCAGAGCTTCCTTGTGGGCTTACTAAGTGTCACAAGCCCTTCAGACCTGCTTGTTGATTCCTAGCTCTGACTGACAAACAAAGTATAATGTTTTGGTTGGCATGGTTAACGGCCCTGGTGGGCAGTCTTTCTTTCCTTTCACAAGGGCCAGAAGGAATGCGTCCAGTTCAGTCAGGTCCTAGGCTGGTAGAGAGAACCCTTGGCCAGAGCAGGCCTCCGCCTGGCTACCAATGCACACTGAGGAATTTGGAGTGAGTGGTCAGGTCATAGCTATTTCTCTGGCCAGACTCTTGATTCTGTGACACTAGCCTAAGGAGAGGTTTCAACCTGCCTTCTACCATGTGGGTCCCAGGGATCAAAGTCAGATCCTCGGGCTTGTCAGCCATTACCTTCATCCACTGAGCTGTCTCATTGGCTCTTGTTTTTTTGAGACTGGGTTACATGTAAGCCAGGCTGTCCTCCATCTTCCTCTCTTCCCATTTGAAACAAGCTCTGGCTACTGTAGCCTGAATCTCACTGTGTAGCCCAAACTAGCCTGCAACTCATGGTGAACCTCAGGCTCCCAAATACTCTGGCATTACAAGCATGTCCTATCATGTCAAACCTGACTTTTAAAATTTTTTTTTCATTTTATGGGTATATATGCATATATGTCTGTGTACCAGGTGTGTGCAGTGCCCATGGAGCCCAGAAGAGGGTATCAAGTCCCCTGGGACCTGAGTTAGAGCTGTAGGCCACTATGTGGGCACTGGGAATCAAACCCAGGTTCTCCGTAAAAGCAGCTAAATTCTTAACCATTGAGGATTCCTCCAGCTCTCTGGGTTAACTCTTTAAGGTTTAGGCTTAGAATATGGTTTAAGGCTTAGAATATGGTAGTGTGGCATCTAGTCTCTCCTTGGTCTCTAATCACTTGGTTGGTATAGGCAGCAGAGGCAGGCCACATCTTTCCTGGGCTTTGGTGACAGGCCTTAAGGGGGCTAGGAGCTGAAGCATGAGGGGAATAAGCGAGGCAGGCTGCAGAGGTGAAGGTTCTCGGGCTTTGCAGATACTCCTGGTTGAGACGAGTCTACAGGGAAGTCTGTGTTGCTGGAAGCCTATAGATAGTTCTCTGATACAAAATGTTGCTTCACACAGTATGTGGTGACGGGGATTCAGAAGGCTAAGCAGAAACCCTATCAGATAAGGGTGGAGGCATGGCCAGATGGGGACACAGCAGGATTTGTCTGGACAGTTGAACACTGGCTGACCATTAGATCACTGGGCAGCTTCCAGAAATAAAAACAACCTCCTGTGTCTGGATTTTATTTACAAAGACCAGTTAAATCAGAATCTTCTGGAGTGGGTCTAGGGCAGCAGTGTTTGGTGAGGCTTTCCCAGATGCTTCTGAAGTGCGTTCGGTGTTAGAGAAGACTTTCCTCACACAGCAAACAAGAAGGTAAAAACACCCCAGCCAGGCGTTGCTGTGCACTTGTAACTCCAGCTCTCTGGAGGCTGAGGCAGGAAGACTGAAAGTTTGAAGCTAACCTGGGCCAAAGTTCTAGGTCAGGCTAAGCTACACAATGAGACTATGTTTAAAACCCAAAATCCCAAGCAGAAATATTTGAAGAGCAAGAACCTAGGGTGCAATCAGGCAGCCCTTAAGAGAATGGAGTGAGTTACAGGGCCATATCGTGTGGCTTAGAGCAGTAGGGGTGAGCTAATAGCTGTGAATGTGGGAAAGCTAAGGTGTCAGAAGGATCGTGTGTGCCCCCATGCATGCATGTGCACAGTAGAGAGAGATGGGGTGGTGAAAGGAAAATTATAAATATCTAAAGGATGCATACATATACATACAACTTGAGTACATCTGTCAAAGATGTTCCAGAAAACTGATGAACACACTCAGGACCAGAATATGCTCTGGAATAGAGATGAGATGGGGAAGTAGGCTTTCAGGGTAGAAGGATAGCTGGTTAGTTGGTTCGAGGCTGGGTCTCCTACAATAGCCTAGGTTGACCTAGAATTCATCTTATAGCTTAAGCTAACCTAAAAAGGTAGTCCTCCTGTCTCAGCCTCTTGAGTGCTGACATGAAGGTGTGCCACCACATCCACTAGCAAGATTGTTTATTTTCAACCCAAGGCTTCCCTCACACATGCTCAGCACACTTAACCACTGAGCTACACAGCCCCAGCCACCGATGATTCTTTAAGCTATGTTATCATTGACTTATGTGCCTTACACATGCATGCATGTATTTTGTATTTTAGGACACTTCACTTATAAAACAAGGAAACATAAACCCTGGGCCTTAGGGAAACTTCCACTAGGCCAGAACAAAGTCCCAAGTCCCCTGACATGGATCTTCAGGGATGTATCCCATGTGTGGAACAGCACAACAGCTACATAAAGAGTCTACATAGCTGTAAACACTAGTAGGCAGGAGGTAGAGGCAGGACGGAGGGTTCAAAGCCATGCTGGGCTACAGCAAGATGCAATACTATGGAGAATGCCACCAAAGAGTCAACGAGTACTGACCGGACAGAACCTTTACGTTTTCCCTTAATTTCTGTGTGAGTGCGCGTGTTAGTCACTATTTGCATGAGGAGGTCAGAGAACAATGTGGAGTTGTTTTTCTCCTTTCATGTGTGGGTTCCAAGATCAAACTTAGCTAGTTAGGCTTAGTGGCAAGGACCTTTACCTGATGTGCCATCTCATTGGCTCTGGGCAAAACTTTTGCTAAAAGTTACATGTATAAAATACAATGACACGGTGATCTGGGCCCGAGCACTGAGCAGATCCTGGGCGGCAGCTCTACACCCAGTCTCACAAAACCCAGAGGAAGCAGGCCTCCTAGGAGCTCTAACCTGGGCAGTATCTTAGGTAAGGAGACAGCAACACTTCCCCAAACAGGGAGTAACTGGGACCCAGGAATTCACTCCTGGCCTGGAGCACCAGTTCCTTCCGGTCTGGGCCCAAGCACTGAGCAGATCTTGGGCCCCAGCTCTAACCCCAGTAGTAACACCCACCCCACACAGTTCTGAAACAACCAAGATAATAGGAAAATCAGGCTCCAGTCAGAGACAGGGCAGGTAGCACTAAGGTGATCCAGATGGCAAAAGGCAAGTGCAAGAACATAAGCATCAGCAACCCAGGGTACTTGACATCATTAGAACCTAGTTCTCCCACACTAGAAACTCCTGAATTCCCATGTCACCAGGAAAGCAAGATTCAGATTTAAAATCACTTCTAATGATGATGATAGAGGACTTTAAGAAGGACATAAATAACACTCTCAAAGAATTTGAGAACACAGGTAAACAGGTAGAAGCACGTAAAGAGGAAACACAAAAATCCCTTAAAGAGTTACAAGAGGACACAGCCAAACAGGTGAAGGAATTGAACAAAACCATCCAGAACATAAAAATGGAAGTAGAAACAATAAAGAAATCACAATTGGAGACTACCCTGGAGATAGAAAACCTAGGGAAAAAATCAGGAGTCATAGATGCATCACCAACAGAATACAAGAGATAGAAGGGAGAATCTCAGGTGCAGAAGATGCCATAGAAAATATTGACACAACTGTCAAAGAAAACGCAAAATGCAAAAAGTTCTTAACACAAAACATCCAGGAAATCCAGGACACAATGAGAAGACCAAATCTAAGGATAATAGGTATAGTTGAGAGTGAAGATTCCCAACTTAAAGGGCCAAT